GCCATGTCGAACCACCGGAACACCTTGCGGCTCAGCCCGATCTCAGCCTCATTGCCCCACTTTCCACCACCAATCGTCTTGTTGGTCGATGGGCGCCCCTCATTCATCGGCAGCGCAATCACATCGTGCCACTCCGCCGCCTCCTGCTGCAGCGCCAAAGAGTACGTGAAGTTGTGCGACGGGTGCCGCCCAAAGACGTACAGCACCAGCATCGCACCGCTGAAGTTGTTTGCTCTCGTCGCCACTCCAGGGAACGTCCAGAGCGTTGAACGCTGGAGGTCGCGGCGCCTCCGCCGCGCATTCATGTCCACAGATGGGATGCCGAGCGCAATGAGGAAGTCGCTCGCCTCCCACGCACGGACAACAGTGGGTGGAATGTACCTGAGAGATTCATCATCGAGAACAGAATCAACGTTGCGGGGGCCCGCCGTGGGTCCACGGTAAGAGACGTCCAACGACTCAAATGCCAGCCCAACATCCAGTCGGCAAATAGCAGCGACTGCTGCCAGCGACAGAAGAAAGACGACGCACGCAACGGTGTGTCTCCGTCGGCCGTGTCGTGCCATACTGGTTAGCCTTCTGTGGTGTAAAGACATGGCGAAGAAGGCGTAGGGCACCCACAGGGAGATACGAAAGGTTTCGTGCTCCCTCCATCACGCTATAGATATATCCCGGTTAATAGATCAAGGACACCACGGGCAACAGTATCCACTGTTGCACCACAACGAGTGAGGGCAACGCCCGATGTCGCCCAGAGCCGTAATTATGTATATATGTGTGGGCGTACAATATGATAGGGGTGCGAGGGGATTAGTGTTCCACTGGCCGCGGGATCCAGGACTCGCCTGGTCTAGTAATTCTACCACGGCACAGCAATACACCAAAGGTCCGCACCACACATAAAGCACGACAACTACGGCAGAACACAATTACCGCAACACATTGCATACGTCACAGCACGTGCAAGCGGTGGTATGTACTGTGGCACAACACAGTCGGAAGCCAATAACACACAAAAGAAGTCTGCGAGTCAAACCAATACGAGTTCAGCAAGCAGACTATAGCCCGACAAACAGTGGTATGCACGATACCAATACAAGTAAAAGTAAAATATGGGGGGAAAGAAAGCTGAGAGTAGGAGGCCCATCACTTTCAACAAGAAAAATCCAGTCGGCGCTTCTTGGAACGTTTCAATTTTCTCGCCACCGCAACGGTCCCGCCTCCAAACCTCTCCATCAGCTGGTTGTAGTCGCCCTCACGCACGTGGTGTATCATCACAGAGCTCGGCCGCACAGGCTCCAGCCGTGGCCCATTATGTACGTCATGGAAGGCGCAACGGCCTTCGCTGACAAAGATAAGCCGTCCACGGTACCCCATCTTTTCCAGCGCTAGCCCCACCATGGCGTCCTCAGCCTGCATCATCAAGGAGTGATACTCTGCATCCCACTCACTGGTGTACGGCACACTAACCAGACGAACAAGAGGTAAGAACGAAACAAGCTGCTCCACCGCATCCCTCGCCAGCGTATAGCACGCACCAAAAGCATACCAAAATTCCACTGGGTAAGGTTCCATTGCCACAATTCCCCAATACAGTCCTCGACGAGGCAGCGAGCGCAGGTCAGCGAGGTACTGCGGCACGCGCAGGAACATGTCGTCGTCTCCCTTCGCGATGTAGCTCGCATTCGGGAACAGACGGAACGCCAGCTCGAACCAAAAGAACGTCTTGCGGCTCATTCCGACCTCAGCCTCCAGTCCCCATTTGCCATTACCACCGACTTTTTTGTTGGTCGACGGGCGCCCATCATTCATCGGCAGCGCAATCACATCGTGCCACTCCGCCGCCTCCTTCAGAAGCGCCGCGGAGTACGTGAAGTTGTGCGAC